CCTTCTTCTGGGAACCCTTTTCTGTCCTGGGCCCAAGCCAGTCCCCCATTCTCATACTTACTCTTGCTTAACCTACGGCCACACCCAGCACACGGTATGGTCATTGTTCAATGTCCCCATTCCCAAAAAAACAAGTAAACCTTTGGGGCATACGGCTATTTCTGCCCATGCTCACAGCTGTCCCCCAGCACCTTGCCCTCTGTATTTGTCACTTGCATCTGAAGTAGTGAATGAACAGCTATGAATGAACTCATCAGGACCTCAACTATAGATAAATCCAAATAACCACAAACCCCAGCCTAAGCCACCCTTACTCAGCATTTGCTCCATCTGTCCTGTTGTGTTTGCAGGGCTGTAGACCCGTGTCTGAGGGCTAGCTGCCAACCGTCTGGCAACCTGGAGGAAGGGAGAGGGGAGGAACGTCTTCCCAGCCTGGCAGAATCTTCCAGGGTGGCAGCAGATGGGCCAAGGAGGAGCCTCAGAACCCCCGGATGAGTCAGTGAAAAGGCAAAGATCAAAAATCAGGTCTTGTGTTTTGGAGCTGGTCTGCCGGTTATAGATTCACTGACTTTCTCTTTCAGAAACAGACTGCTTGAAGCATTGTCATGGCCTGAGCAAGTTGAACTAAATCACAGCGATTCAGGCTGGGAGGTCAGATGGCCCTGGGTTCCAGTCCAGACTTTGCCACTAATTAGAGCTGTCTTAAAAATTATTTCCAAAAGCAGGTCCCACAGAATGTTCCACTGCGAATGGCTCCATTACACTGATACCAAATCCTGGAAGTCACATCGCACAATGAGTACTCCACTACAAGATCCAGACGTGAGAGCTTGGGACTGAACGCACAGCTGTCCTGAGCAGGAATGCGCAGGCAATAAGACAAGTCACATGTTGTTTATCAGGAAATTGGGTCAAAACTGGAAGAAATACTCTGAATTCCTGGCAGTAAGGCCAACAATCCCCCTGAGGTGTCGGGGGTCTGTTTCTACACTATGTACAGAACCACAGACAGGTAAAACAGGAATAAAATGGGGCAGGGCCCGAAGAGGGAGAACTCGCATCTGGCTGGGGACAGGAGGGAAGGGCAATTGAACTAGAGAGCTCGACTGGCCAATCATGCTCTCTCCGCTTCTCTCCTAATCTTATCTTCAACTGCTTTCAGCTGTTCTAGAATGCTGCCACTCTCCCCTTTGTAAGCTGTTTTCAAGTAGGAAAAAAAGGAGTTGAGTGCCCCCTGGCCCTCCAAGCCCACCCCTCCCCATCAGCCATCCCCCCAAACACAGTGATCCATGTATGGCCTTGAATTGACACTTGACCCAGGAGCCAGTCAGTGTCATTTGAAATTTTTTAAAAGCCAGAGGAGACACATATTGACATGATCTGGCAGCTTCCTCTCCCTGAATCACTGGCCAAATCTTTCAATAAAGAATTTGCCTCTCCTGCCTCTTACGACCTGCCTACTTGGAGGGGAAGGGGGGCAGCAAAATGTGAACTGTCAGCCTGCGCAGAAGCTTTTTCAGTAATTTCAGAGCCACTGAAGTGATGGGAGATCAGTTGACAGGAGAAAAACACTCCGATCTGCCAGATCATCCCCGAAGGAGAAACAAAGGTGAAAAACGAGGGGCATGAGACTCACCATAGCAGGTCCTTTCCGCCCAGCAGCTTTCATTGACTTCTGGTACCATCACTCTTCTCGCGGGGAAAAGACACCAAGTGTGCGGAGAAATGCGGACTGTGAGCCCCGGGCTCAGCTTTCTCATCCACGGAAGCGGGATGACACCGCCTAACCTGCAGGGCTGTGTATGTTGCAAGTGCCTGGCACATGACGGGCCTCCCTCGCTAGAAGCGTGCAGAGATTTCAGTGTATGGCCTCTGACAAGTTGCTTCACCTCTCAGAACCTCGGGCGTTTTCCCCCCATAGCGTGGAAGTGGTAAGCTTTCAGGGAATTGGTGTAAGATGTTACACAAGGTCTGGCTTACTGTAAGCTGTTGTACGCCCTCTCGCAGGCAGAACTTGAGTGGGTCTGAGCTTTGGCACCAAATAGAATGGTCAAAGAGTTTCTGTGCTTGTAATGGGCGATATTGGGGGCATGTTTCTTTCTAGACAAGGGGTTCACAGGATGTGAAATTGCCCAGAGGGGCATTCAGTCTAGGATTTGGGAGCTGTAAAGGGGGAAGAATCACATGGGTGAGACAAATAAAAAGTGCACAATGTGCTCAGTACCAAGCACACGCACAGCGGTTAAGCACAGATGCTAAGCCAGGCCGCCAGATCAAGTCTGGCTTTACGACGGCACATCCTTGGGCTGGCTCCTCAACCTCTCTGCCTCGTGTCCCGTAGACATGCAGTGAGAATTGGTTAATATAAATGCAAACGTTCTAGGAACACCAGCTGGCGTGGAGACAGCTGTTAGCAATTGTAGCAGAGATATTTTTACTCACCAAATATCCATGGGCTTCCCCTATTTCGTAGCCTCCCTTGCAGTTAGGTTGGCTCACGTGACCCATTGCCGGCCAGTGGGCTGAGAACAAGTGTCACGTGTCATTCAAGGACTGAAGTGTCTGAGAGCTGGTGCGTGTTTGCCAACCTTCCCTTCCTGCCTCCGCAATCGCAGAAGCCACGTGCTGAGATGGAAGGGCCACCAAGTGGGAGTAATCTGGATCACTGAGTCAACGCATGGAGAACGGCGGCCCCGGAATCACCCAACTCGTGTTGAACATGGTGAGAAATAAACCTTTGTTGTAATAAGCTGCTGAGATTTCCGAGCCTATCCTACCCTGACCAATACAGCTATTATTAGACATGTAATCAAGGATTAGGTTGAGCAAAGGGTGAGCAAATTTTAGAAAATGAGGAAACATTTACTGAACCTATGTTCCAGGCATCATGCATGGTGCTTTATTTTTAGTAATTGTTGCCGTAGAACAGCAGTTCTCAACTGGGGGTGGTTTTGGCCCCCAGGGGACATCTGACAATGTCTGGAGACATTTTGGGTGGTCACAAAGGGGTACTACTGGCATCTGGTGGGTAGAGGTCAGGGATGCTGCTGAACGTCCCTGTAGATTAAGTGTACAAAAAGAAAGCCTCCCATCGCAGCCCAAGCTGTTTCTCAGAGATAATCACTACTGCCACCAGGTTCTTCTATCTTCCAGATATACTCTGCATAGAGAAGTACAGGCATGTGTATATCCTTTTATGCTCAAGCAGGGAATAAAAAATCACACACTGTTCTGCACATGTGTATTTTGAAATTCATTCCATATTAGAACCAACATATCTGCCTTCCTGATCAAAGAAACTAACAGATGATAATTTCTCATGTCAGGCAAAATGGAAGCCCCGCCCCTTAAAATTCCCAAGGGAACTTTTGAAAAATCTTAGTTCTGGCCCCATTCCCAGAGATTGATTCAACTGGCCTGGGAGGGGCCTGAGCACCCATCCTGGGTGCAATCAGGGTGGAGAACCACAGGGCTGATCCCTCCACCTGTGCCCTGGATCACACAGCCTCCAGAATGCCTTCTCCTGTCTTGCTCCCTCCATTCCCTTCCCCACTGGCATTGACAAGTTATCACCTCCCTTAACCACCTCCTCCATCAGTCACTACTGCATCTCTCTCCTTGCCTTCACAGCCAGAAGCTTCTCCACTCACTCCCTCTCCGTTCAGTTTACTCTTGAAACCCTTTAGGTTCCTCCCTCCCAGGTCACCAAGCTTTCCTTTTCAGATCTTGTCTTCTCAACGTCCTGAAATACTTCCCTCTGTTGCTTTTGTTACTTGAGCAATGGTCAGCTGGTTGGCTGGAAGTCATATAAATACAACCCTATTAATCCAGGATAAAAAGACTGGATTAATCCAGTCTTTTTATCCTGTAATCCAGGTTAAAGATTACTGGGTCTAACCCAGCGAGTGCAGGCGTTGCTTCTTCCTGGTCCTCCATTTGGGGTATCCGTATTTGTAGTTGGCAGAGGCACACTTAGTAATACCAGGAGTAAAGCCCTAACAAAACTGGGTATAGTTTGGGACATGCTAAGATGTTTACCAGATAGCCAAATCAAATACCAAGTGAGCAATTCCAGAACTCCAGAGTTCAGAAGACATAAGCTGAACATACAAATGAGTCTTCAATATAGATGGTATTTAAAGCCATGAAATGGAGAGTGTCTCAACAAAGGAATGAGTATAGAGAAGACCAAGAACAAATCCTTGGGAAAAGATGAGGAGGAAGCAAGAGACTGAGAAGTAAGGTAGCACAACAGTGCACAACAAAAGCTAAGAAGATGGTTCAAGAAGGCACAGTCAAACCTGTCAGCTAGTGAAGGCCAAGTAGGAAGAGGACTGGCCTCAGTCTGGCCCTCCCTGCTGACCCTGACAAGCAGTTTCAATGGAATGGCAAGCCCAGTTGAGTGTCTTAACAGCAAAAAATGGAAAAGCTCATACAGAACACTCTGACAAGGAATTCTACTGTAAAAAGCAACAGTAACTGGAGACAGAAGTGGCCTGAGATCAACCCATCCTGAGTCGTGAAATATAAAATTTTTAAGCCATCCAGTTCTCTCGTAATGTTTCAGAAGCAAGGAAATCCCATCATGTTCTCTTTCAACTGTTTCTGCCTACCAGAAATTATTCTGCTGCCACAGACTTTCGGCTAATAGAGAGAGGGTCACAGAGCATTTAAGTCTTAAGCGCTAGTGTGAGGTTACCACAGGTAGTACACAGGTCATTTAGCCTACCAGGAAGGAAATATGCTTGAGAAAATGCCCAAGGCTGCCCCAGCACAAGGTGCTCTGGAGAAAAGGCAAACCACAGATTTACTAGTTGCTTGTTGTTTTTCCAACAAGTGATTTCCTTCCTGCTAAGATACATACCGTGAATATTTTTCTAAGTACACGTGTGAATGTGTGTGTGATACACGTGCTAATCTCCTAAAGGAAATTCTGCAGAACATCTGGGTCAAAGAGCACTTTGCATTATCAAAAAGGATGAACCAGAGGGGGAAAAAAATGCATGACAAAGAGTCTTTACTTTTAAATGATTATCAGTACACCAAGTAATAACATGTAACAAGTTCTTCAATTCTATCATCTAGCAATTTCGATTTAGAGACACTAAAAGCAGCCCAAACAATTATACTAGTGTTCATTGTTCTAACCCTTAGCCAGAAAGGACTATTTTAAGGCTGGCTGCTGCTTCACATGTTACAAATGACTATTTACTACTTTTTCATAGATAAAGCCCCTGACCTTCAAGAAAGCTTTAGGGAAAAAAAATATTTAATCCCTTTCTTTCTTAAAAAAAATTGTTTTCACGACATCTAAGAAAGAAAAAGTCAGTACAGATATATATGTTGCTTGAGCTAAAAGGCATAGGAAAACAGACAACATATACCCATTAAATTCCTAAGAAATGAGGTAAAAAGATGAAATCTTTGGATGAGCTCTAAGTTTATATGAAGAAGCTAGATTTGCTATCCTCCAAAAAGCAAAGGGACCTACTACATAATATACAGAAATAACTTAATGCCTTTTCACAAGAATGAAACTCAAGCTTTGCTAAAGCTTCATGTTCCATGAAGGCGTGTGAAATGCCCATCCATGGAACAGGCAGGTCTTCCTTCGCCCTCTATCCATTTAAGCGGTAGTTTTCATGGATTTCTGGCCGGATGTCGCAGACGATGGCCAGGAGGTTATCCAGGACTTCATCTCGGTTCTGCCGGAAGTAGGTCTGGAGGATGGTCATCTTCTCCTGGGTGTCCTTCTCCACTTCAGTGCTGCAGCTGCCGTGGGATCCCAGAGCCTGGAGTCGGGGAGCAACGACACACAAGGAACGTCAGGACGGTGCTCTGCAGGGCCAGGGACAATTGGTAAGCAACTTTCTTACTTCTAGAGAAACCCCATCTCGTCGATGAATATAAATCATCAGCAGTAGGCAAGACAACCTCATGACTGAAGAGCACGTGGGAAGCTGGCATTCCCACAGTTAATGGGAGCATAAATTGATGCAGTCACTTTGGTGGCCAACCTTAAAACTTCTATCAAAAGGTAATTTGCACAGAAATTATCCCAGAAAGCGATATAGTCATCTGTCTCTAGAGTCTAAGACTGGAATGAACCTAAACACCCGAGCACTGAGAACTACTTAAACAAATGTTGGGGCATCCATACCAGAGAACACTCTTCAGACATTAAGAAAGGTAAGGTAGATGGGTATAGCAGGATAGAATGAACTGTAAAATATGCAATTTAAGGGGAAAAAGCAGGACACAGAATGATACCAGTGTGGTTAGTATTGATGTGTCCTTGTGTGGTTTTAAAAGAGATATAAAAAAAAAAAGCTCTTGGGGACGGCCTGGTGGCATAGTGGTTGACTTCGCATGCTCCGCTTCGGCGGCCCAGGGTTCGCAGGTTCGGATCCCGGGCGTGGACCTAGGCACCGCTCATCAAGCCATGCTGTGGCGGCGTCCCATATACAAAGTAGGGGAAGACTGGCACAGATGTTAGTTCAGAGACCATCTTCCTCAAGCAACAAGAGGAAGACTGGCAATAGATGTTAGCTCAGGGCCAATCTTCCTCACCAAAAAAAAAGCTCTTAAAAAAATAAACACAAGGGCACAATTTAGGAGGACATACAGAGTTCCACCATTACCAGTTAATGTTTTAGCTCTAAGTTCAGCAGTGTATTCACCAGTATTATGAACACGTGACATCTGTTCTTTCAAATATAAATATTCTAGAAGAATACACAAGAAACCGTTAGCAGTGAGTCTCTGAGGAGGACTGCAGGTCTGGGTGGGAGGGAAACCAACTTCTCATTGTTGCCCTGTTTTATTGCTTGAATTTCTACTGTCTGCATGTCTTACTCCTTCAGTCTCCACTCACAATTTAACACACACTGATGGATAAATTTTCTTTTATCTTCTACTGTCTTCACAGTATGGCTGGCTGTTTGTTAACGGCTGTGCCTACTTTATTAGAATGTGACCTATCAGGTTCTTAACTTTTTTGTGTCTGACCTTTCATGTCACTTAACCTGCTCTTGCCTCATTACATATGTTAACAACTATATCCTTTCATATTTGTATAACGCATTACAGTCTACAAAGCACTCTCTCACATGTCACCCGTCCCTCCATAATCTACAAGGAGGCAATCACTCCCCTTTTCACAGATGAGGAAACCAAGACACAAAGAAGTCAAACTGAACAAGCAAAGATTCAAACCCGAGTTTCTGAGTTCCGACGCAGGGCTCTTCACACTAGACCACAACTATTCCTATTACAGGAACACCCTGGGGCGTTTCATAGCAGTTAGCTCAGGTGCTAACTCATATTTTTATAAGTCCATAACCCCTACTCAAGAAAAAAAAAAAAAAACTATCTCTGTTCCTATGAATGTGAACTATATCCAAGCCCCAGAATGTTGTCTCAAAACTGAAGAAGTTACAACGGAACACTCTAGAAAAACTCAGAGCTCGTGCGTATAGACACTTCTGCTGATGGCTGCCAAGAGGGAGGCATGGTCTTTACTCACTGGACTTGGACTGAGGGTGTGTGCCCAGAACTAGCGGAGGCTGTCATGTAGAACCTCAGCACGAAGCCCACAAAGTCAAAGGCAGAGCTGAGAGACGGACACAAAGTCCTCAGATCATTATTTAAGTTCCTGGATCAAAATAGAGTTAAGTCTTCCACCTGGGTGTTTAATTATATAGGCCAAAAAATTTTATTGTGCTTAAAAAACTTGAATTGTTTCCTGTTACTGTATCCAAGGTCCCGAGAGAGTTTCCCTGTGAAGCCCTCCTCCATCCTTTCCCCTTTCCAGAATTTCCCCTGCTTCCTCTGAACTCTGCCATCTGTTCTTGTTCTATTCTCATATGCATCTTACGCATCCTAGTTTGGCCCATACTACTGGTGAGTGGCTCTCTCTACACTACACTAAAGTGGGCTCCGTTTAATCTATGTTTATGACGGTCACAGCTCTGTTCCCTGCTGTGGGTGTGTGTGGCTTGCATTTTACTACCGAGTCTCCCTGATCACCAGACTGCTCAGCTCCATGAGGCAGGGACCACGTCTATTTCTGTTCACAGCTGATCCCCCCGCACCTGGCACAGGACCCGGCACACGTTAACTGTTCAGTGGATGTTTGTTAAATGACTGAATAAAGACTAAGATTCAATGGAAGTTAAAAAAATGAGCACCCTAAGAGACTCAGCCTGACCATTCAATATCCCAGTGTTCAAATTTCTACCAGAATCAGGATCTCCAAGCTATGGTGGACATCTGGAGATCCCGGGGGGAAGGGAGGGAAGGCTCAGGAACCTAAAGCAGGAAGGAAAACAGGCAGGCCTACCGCAGCCTCCTTGGCCTTGAACTCCTTCTCCCTTTGCAGGCGGTACTGTTCAATCTCTGCCTGAGCCTCTTCTTTGGCCTGCTTCAGCCTCCGGTTCTTTCCTGTTTTCAAAGGAAAGCGCTACATCAGGAAGTGGTTAAAAGACAAGCAGAAGAGGAAACAGAGACTGAGATGGTAAATTCTAACAGTAAACAAAGAAAAAAGTGTTAAGATACAGTCCCAAGAGACGGGAGGGGGAGAGAGGGAATTCAGACGTAACTAATGGTGCTGGTTCCCGCCTCCTACAGGCTGTACTTAACTAGGAAGCCACTAGATAAAAAGGACCACCTCCCATAACTACAGACTGTAAAAAAAATGATGGAAAAAATTTCAGAACGTGCCAGAATATTCTCTCAATCTCAACTACGAAGAACCAACATAAAATAGGTGACACTAGCCGTCTGGGGAACTCTTGCTCTTGCTAAGAAGTAAACACCTAAGTATGCTGCTGATTACAGTCGGAGCTGGGTTTAGAAGCTTAGCAGGGAGGCTAACATGCTCCCACGGGACATCAACCTAAAACATCACTGATGAAACAGATGATGTAATACTGGAAACTAACAGCCATGCCTGTGCACAAGGAAAGAAAGTGGTCCTCCTGGGAAAGAATCCTGAATGGGGAGCACTGGACAGTCTGCACGAGCATCTAAGAAGTGAGGAGACACAGGTGCTCTGGGTTCTAGAAGGGAACAGTTGAACAGAGAGCTGGAAAAATTCTCTAGGTTTTACCAGAGCCTGTATGAAAGCAGACCACAAGACCAACCAACACACACTCTGCTTTGATTCTCTGCTCACCAATCAAACTTCTCAGAGACCCAAACAGGAAAAAAAAAAAAAAAAAAGATGGGGTCCTAGATGATCAACCTATTTCTTTAATTCAGAGCAAAACACATCCCACATCTAAAAGTAAGCTTTGTTATATATCGTTGTATATATCAATTGCCCAAATCCCACTCAACCCATGTGGATGAATGAAACTGATTTTTTTTTTCTTTTTTGTTGAGGAAGATCAGCCCTGAGTTAACACCCATGCCAATCCTCCTCTTTTTTTTTGCTGAGGAAGACGGGCCCTGAGCTAACATCTATTGCCAATCCTCCTGCTTTTTTTTTTTCCCCTTTTCTCCTCAAAGCCCCAGTAGGTAGTTGTATGTCATAGCTGCACATCCTTCTAGTTGCTGTATGTGGGACGCTGCCAAGCATGGCCAGACAAGCGGTGCGTCGGGGCGCGCCCGGGATCCAAACCCAGGCCAGAGCACGCACTTAACTGCTAAGCCACAGGGCCGGCCCCTGAAGGAAACTGACTTCCACCTCCTGATTAAGAATAGGGTTTTGGACCAGTAATGACCCCACAACATCAAGACTCCATGAGGATAGCCTGAAACAGTCAACAGTGTCTCCCTAAGCGCCCCAAGGACTATTTCTGCAAGGATGTATTACTCCAAAAAAATTTTTACTCCAGTAAATATATAAATATATAGATAGATATAAATAAATATTAGGGCCTACTGCTGTCTGCTCTAGCCGACCTTTACGGCAATCCTCCTCATCAGCTATATCCAAAGCCATATTTCAATGCTGAGGATCTTTTCCAAACTAACAATCTAAAATAACATTTATGGCCCAAACATTATGCTAGCGTCACATAATTTCACAATCTCTCTCTCAAGATCACTCCCAATTCCCAGGGCTCCCTGAATTAGCAATTTAGGATAACACCATTCCCTGTCTGTCAGCAAACATCTTCAAAGTTCAATTTTGATACACTTCTCTGAAAACCAAAAGTAAATATTTGAGCAGGAAATTATATTTCTTTTAAATCTTATTTTTTGTGGGCCTAACATGTGGGAGCCAGTATTTTGTCTCACTCCAATGAAATAAATCATAACACAAATTTTTTTTTTAAATTTTATGGTCCAAAGCAATGATTTCATGAAAAATTTGGGTTGGACCATTTTACCACATCATGCACTGCTTCCTCCCAGTTCCTAAGTGGGCACGTCAACCATAATTACAGAGCAAGAAAGGCAATAATTTTTTCAAATTTTAGCTCTTCTCAATACTTCTGTTCCTAATTATTGCAAATTCTGAGATGCATATTAGCCATAAACTCATTCCTTCAAAACAAATTCATTCAGTAAACATGTAATAGCTACCTGAGATATACAAGACCCTGTGCCAGGCTTGATGGGATAAAGAAAGGGGTAAAACATGACCCCTACCTCCATGACCCTCTGAATTATTCCTACCATTACAAAGTATTTGTTTCCGCACTGTCCCCAAATATTCTCACATGCTCCCCAACAGATACACTTCTGTTACTAATGAGCCATCAGAGGCCAAACTCTGACAAGTCATTCTGGAAATACTGTATCAAGGCCATGATCACTAATATTCTGTGAAGAACACAGAACTTTCCGGTCACCAGAGCAAGAATTAAAGGCTTGTTCCCGTTTCCAGCTCCCTCAAAGAAACCTATTCTGTGAAATCCAGAGTATCACACAACCTCCAATTGAGAAAGTACAAGAGCCATGCTTGAAATCTACTTGGGTGTGGGATTAAGAATTTAAGTCTCATCTTAGGAGACATGCCAAGGAATTACTAAAGTTAATAGTTCTTGGGGGCCGGCCCAGTGGTGCAGCGGGTAAGTGCACATGCTCCGCTGCCGCGGCCTGGGGTTCACAGGTTCGGATCCCGGCGTGCACTGACACACCGCTTGCTAAGCCATGCTGTGGCGACGTCCCATATAAGGTGGAGGAAGACGGGCACGGATGTTAGCTCAGGGCCAGTCTTCCTCAGCAAAAAGAGGAGGATTGGCAGATGTTAGCACAGGGCTGATCTTCCTCACACACACAAACACACACAAAAAATAGTTCTTGGTATTTCACCTTGGCATGGGAAAGGAGGCCTCTGAGCCCCAGCTACCCTGCTTCCCGGGGTAGGGTCAAATCACTTCTCTCTGAGCCTCATTTTTCCCATCTGTAAAACAGGGACAGAAACATCTATCTCACCAGATGGGACACTGAATACATAAAGCTAAATTAGACACAGTCCCTTTTCTCCAGCAGCTTAGCCTAGTGACTGAGCCATAGAAAGAAACAGGTGACTGCACTGCGAGGACGGAAAAAAGCACTTGGGAAGGACTCCTAGCCTAGTCTGACGGGACAAGGACAAGTCGGGGAAGGCTTCCTGGAAGAAGTGCTGCCTAAATTTTGAGATCTGAAGGAAGACAAAGGGTTAAGAGAACAAAGAGAGGAAACCGGGAAAAGACTCTTCCAATCAGAGGCAACAGCCGTGCAAAGGCCTGCAGGTGAAATCTAGAAGGAGCCTTGGAGGAACCCCAGTGGTTCAGGATTTCTGGAGGAGAGTACGGAAAAGCGAGATCAGGGAAGAAAGCTGGAGCCTGATCCAAAGCGCCTCCTACACCCCATTAGGGAACCGGGGCTTTATTTTTTGTCGACTGTCAAAGAATAAAGGGGAAGTCATACTCGCATTTGGGAGGGATGACTGACTGCAGTGAAGAGGACGGAAGGGAGAGAGTAGGAAGTTTCTCCCATTCACCAGTCTAGATGAGCTCCACCTGTGAAGTTCTTGAGACCCCCCCCACCCCCACCCCCTTACATTTCTCAACTCTAGGCCTCATCTCTCCTGAACTTATTCTGCTTCCTTCACTGGGACGGAAAACTGTCGGAGACTACAGGAGCACCGGGCAGTGCGTTTGCCACATATTAACCGCGTTAAAAAACTCATTTAAGGAATTAACGAATTCGGCTCCTAAGGGAGCCTCAGGGAACTTGATGTCCTGGACTGAGATGCTGGCGGTAGCGATGGGCGAAAAGCGAAGAGATCAAGACCCCTTGGCGACCGACTAAACTTGGCGAGTGATGGGGGCTCCCTTCACCGAGACGCAGCAACCCAAAGGAGCAAGTGGGAGGGAGAAAGACATCAAGTTCCGTTTGGCTAGCACATTTTACACGCCTCCCAGGCCCCGAGAAGGACGCCCACCCATTGTTGTCTCCACGCCCGACCCCGCATCCCACATCGCAGCCTCCCGTCGACCTACCAGGCTTCCAGAGCCTCGGATCCTGAGGGCTCCGAAACACACAAGCTCCTGCGATCGTGACCACCCTCCGCCCCGCAGCCCGTGGGGCCTCGTCCCCGCGGCCTGGCCGCCTTCCCTGGACTCGCGCCCCCCTAACCGCCCCGCCCCGCCCCGCAACTCACGTTTGCGGGCCTCCGACACCTTCTCGGCGGCCCGCTTCTCAGCCTGCAGCAGCTGCTGGATGCCCTGCGACTGACTGGCCATGGCGGCGGCGACTCTGAAGCCGAGGCGAGCAGCCTAAACCTGCTCGATCGCCCCCCAGGAACAGCTGACCCAGCCGCCCAAGATCTGCGCCTGCGCCGTGCGCCGGCGCCCCGCCCTCGGTCACGTGACCGCCGCAGCGCCGCGTCAGCTGACTGCGCTGGCGTCTGGTGACTCCGGCAGAAAGGGGCGGGGCGGAGGAGGGAAGAGCGGAGCGCCTCAACTGCGCCTGCGCAAGATCTGTTTTCTGTGTTCATTTTTCCCAACCCAATTCCCTTAGTGGCTGTCTTGTCGCAGATTTGATGCTGTGGTCGCCTTGCCACGTCGTTATTGCCATAATCCTTCACTTTACAGTGTGCCCACATTAAGGTCCAGAGAGGAGGGGACAAGCCTAGTCATTTTCCCCTATTCTGCACACTGCTTTACTCTGTCCCTTTCTGGAAGTTTCTTTGGCACTCAAAATAAAGTAGGGAGTAGGCTAGGAAAATTCATACCAGGCTCTGGGGATGCAGTCTAGATTGGGACTAGGGATACTTGGGGTCAAGTCTGCTGTGTGATTTGTGGGGCGGGGGGGGGGGGGGGGGGGGGCGGTGCAGCGGTGCTTTCCCTCTCAGGAACCCTAGTTCAGGAAAGGATTGGACTATTTTCCGTAAATATTTCATGACTGCCTCCTATGACCCTAGGCTGCTGTTAGTACTGAAGATACAGCAGAGACCAAGACAGACAAGGTCCCTGGTGGGGAGCACGGTTTATGGACAAAAAACAGATTAACTAAAATAAATAGAAAATTACACCTGTGATAAAGTCATGAAGGAAGAATGCAGGGTCCTTTCAGAAGGAATGAGGGAAGGAATGCGGAGGTGTCCTATGAAGGCTCTCCCAATGAAATAGCATTTAAAATGAGATCAGAGGAATGAGAAGTTAATGAGAAGTTAGCCAGGAAAGGCGGGGGGGGGGGGGGGAATGTGGGTGATCAGGCGAAAAGGACCAGCATCTGTGGATTTAGGGGGAGCAACTTAATGCAGAGACCTCCTCCACCAGCAATAGGTAGATGGGAAGCCAATAGTTGAGTTTACAGTATGACAGTCACTGTCCTAAACATGCAACTTACTCCTGACTGCGACTTCAAAGTAGTGTTATTAACCCCACTCTATGATGACCAAACTGAAGCTCCGAGAGTCTAAGTAACTTGCCCAAAGTCATACTCCTATTAACTGTCAGATAGGGTATTTGAATCCAGCCGGGGCTGCTGAGTGGACCATCTGATCCACTGTGCTCTTCTGCAAGAATCTTATGCGCTATGGAAAGGACCGGATGATCTTCTGGAGTCCGTCAAGCACTGAGAACATAAAACAAGGCCAGAACTTTTTGATAGAAGCATCTCTGCACTCGGGGCGTAGCTTGTTTTGTGGCTCAGGACATTTTCATCTGATTGAGATTAGAGGTGGGTTTGGGAAGAAGTCTAAAATCCAAAACTCTTATCCTTTCCTGGTATAAGAACCAGTAATTGATTGGTCTCTGGCACTTCGAAGTCCAGTTGGTGATTTCTTGGGAATATTTGTCATTTATGGTATTCTAAGACAACATAATTCATTCAATCAATCGACAGAGGACTATACACACTTCTAAGGGTGGGAAGAGGATTAAAGGAGATGATGGGAGCCAAAAAGTGGAAACAACCCAAAAGCCCATCCACTGATGAGTGGATAAACAAAATGTGGCATATCCATACAGTGGAATGTTGTTTGGTCATAAAAAGGAATGAAGTACCGATACATGCTGAAATATGGATGGACCTTGGTAACATTATGCGAAGTGAAAGAATTCAAGAACAGAAGACCACATACTGTACAGTTCCATTTATATGAAATGTTAAGAATAGGCAAATCCATAGAGAAAAAAAGTATGTTAGTGGTTAAGCAGGGGCTGGGGGTAGAGGGAATGAGGAGTGACTGCTTGATACCGGCTCAACACAAGCTTGACATAAGGAAAGCCATATTGTTGAAAAGAAACCATATTGTAACTTTGAATGACTTCTGATTAACTAAACCAGACATGCTCTGTAGATTTTATGGCCCCTTCCAGCTGCTATAAATTGATAACTTTATTCTTTTGAGTTCCTTAGGAATGTGATGACCCCTGGGGAGAGAGTCTATGCTGAGAGCCATCATTAATGACAATTGAAAGATCAGAGTATAGGGCGTTGCTGCGGTCTCAGATGCATGCCCAGTAAAACAAAAGACTGTCAGGAACTAAGACCAGATGTCTGCCCCCACCTGGAGATCAGATGCATGCCCCCCCAGGAGACCAGCCTCCTATATAACTGGCCTGCAGTCTTTGTTCTGTAAGATGGTTCTTTCTGACGTTAGTGGGCCATCTTCCCTCTTGCTAGCAAGCTGTAATAAGGTCATTTCTCTCCTACTGCCTTGCCTCTTGACTATTGGCACGTCTTGTGGTAGGCAGACAACCCCCGCCTTGGGCGGTAACATGCTAACTGGTATGGGGTTTCTTTTTGGGATGAGGGAAATGTTCTGGAATTAGATAGTAGTGCTGGCTGCACATCCTTATGAATATTCTTAAAACACCAAATTGTACTCTTTAAAAGGGTGAATGGTACAGTATGTGAATTATGTCACAATAAAGCTGTTATGAAAAGAGAGAGATGATGGATATGAAGCCCTTGCACAGTTTCTAGTCTGTAGCAAGTGCCAGGAAATGGAAGCTGTTGTTTTTATCTGGCTGGGGGGTAATTGTTTGGTTTACAAATCCAGTCCTCCCCTTAACAAAAGCATTCACATCGGGGTTCCTCTGACAGCCAGCTTCCTCCAAGCGTTTAAATATCTACAAATCCCAGAATTTTTTTTTTAGCTTGTAGCATTTCAAAAGTTTATTGTGTAAAGAGAGAAACACTAGACAATCCATCCTCTGAAATTTCCAGACTGATTTGGATTTTCTGATGATCTGAGTGGGTGTTTGTTGTCAGAACTTGGGTACCCGGGGGAGATGTCCTGAAATAACTAGGAAATGAGAGTGAAGGAATTGCCCTCCAAGGGATGCCTTGAAGTCTTGAGTCAGCAGGTCAGAGGAAAGAATCTTAAAGTCGTCTGAAGGGTACAAAGTGGCTCCAGGGCCTTATTCCCCCGATGAGGGACTATATTAGCAAGTCCAAGAAAAGCATGTGCTCCTTCTGAAGTGTGGCTGTTCAGCTGTAAACCTGAAACAAGATGAAGGAGCAATAGCGATCTTTCTAGTCCCCAGGTCAGCAGTGACTAAAGGAAGTGGGGTCTCTCGTCGCCTTGGCTGAGGAAACTAGACAAGGTTCAAATCCCAGCCCTGTTGTTTACCTGCTGGGTGACTTTGTAACATGGGCCCTCCAGGACTGGTCTGAACTGACCATGTCTTATCAACAGAGTAATTAAGAGTGGTTTTTCAGGAACTGAGACCCCTTGTCCAGTTCAGGCTGATTGAGATCACCACCTCGTCAACTGGGCCTGCACAAATGCCAGGCAAGTGACCTTTTTGACATCAAGGAGCTAGAAGCTCCACCCTCAGATCGTGGTAACACCGCCATTCTTTGAACACTCGACCTATGAAGAGGCATGAAGCTTGACCATGCTTGTGCAGATCATCAATTACCTCACTTCTCCTCACCTCCAATCATGTATCTCCATGCTTCAGACTGCCCTGCCCTTCGTCCCATAAATTGTGTCCCAAGCTCTGTATTGAGGAGACAGACCTGGGGGCTTATGCCCCCTGTCTCCCTACAGATCAACCTCTCAGAATAAAGCTGATTTCTTTTCCCAAAGGCTGATGCTGTAATAATTGGCTTTTTTCATGCACATTGAGTAGCCTTACCCCAGCCTCTGGCCTCATAAGACATTAGCCACAACTGTGCTCTGAATGAGCCTAACATGTTATCTTTAGCTTGCAGGAAAGCACAAATAAAGGAAGGAGAAGATGGCTGAATGAAAACAGCCAAAACCTGTTGAAGGAAACATGGCGGTCTGACTTGACCTGACGCAGACCCCGCAGTGGGAGAACCCCATTTGTGCGGTAACAACCTTGAGACAATTACTTAACCTCTGTGAGCTTCAGTCTCCTCATATGGAGTTAATAGTAGTATAATAGGGTTATTATGAGGATTAAATTAGTTAATACCTCTGACGAGCTTAGGATGTCCTCATTACTCATAAGAATGTAAATATTTGGATCCCTATGATAGTGATTTCTCAACAAGAAATAATGGGCCTTTTGTTTTTACACATCAGCCTAGCGTACTTGATCAATGGAAGTTCACCTCAGACAAAGTGATTGCTCAAGAGAGACTCTGCAGGGCCACTGCAATTGATCAAACAGGTTGTCCGTTGCACAAAGAAGTGAGACTGTGCTAAAATCCAGCCCATGCTCCACCCACCCTGCCCAGAGGGAGCACCTTTTTCTAATTCATTCAAAGGCTCCATGGGACCAAGTAGTAGTCCTGTGACCAACTCCAGGATGAGCATCTGACTTGCGCCGTGGAAATCTCGTGGAGGAACTAAGTGCCCCACCCCCACACCCATGTGGGGCCTCCAGGGAAAGAGCTACCTATCCTCTGGTTATACAATTTCCATGTGGGAATGCTGATGATTAATAGTTAACCCTTACTCTCCCTTGATTTACACTGAAAATAATTATAGTCTAAGATATTCTCAAATCTTACTGGTGTTAGGGAGATAATATTTATCCTCCAATGAACGCAGTTAGCTGTGTGTCGCTGTGATAGTGATGGGGTTCAGAACACGCCACCCCAAAATATGGCAGCTTGACATATTGACTATTTTAAGCTGAAAGAATTTGAGAAAGAGTAGGTGTGGGAAGGACTCTTTGACCTTCTCCTGAAGCAGGTCAAAAGACCGTCCTGTGAGAAGTGCCCTCTTGACATCCAGAAGGAGGAAACTTCCTTATCTCCAAGACCCTGAGGGCAGAACAAACAGACCTTGCTAAGTTTCCTCCAGTTTAGTACCCTTAGCTCATAATTTTTTTCTCTTATTACATTTTTCCATGACTTTCCACTCTTCATCAAACCTAGCAGAAAAACACTCAGTTTTTTGTTTTTTTGTGTGTGTTTGAGGAAGATCAGCCCTGAGCTAACATCCATGCCTATCCTCCTCTTTTTTTGCTAAGGAGGACTGGCCCTGAGCTAACATCCATGCCCATCTTCCTCCACTTTATATGGGACGCTGCCACAGCATGGCCTGACAAGCGGTGCATAGGTGCACGCCCAGGATCCGAACATGGGCCGCCAGCAGTGAAGTGCATGCGCTTAACCACTGCACCACGGGGCTGGCCCCAAAAACACTCAGTTTTAACCTCTTGTTCAGGTCTTCATTTCCTTATGAAGACCCTGGTCTCATGTAAAACTTATTTTAAATAAACGTGGATGCTTTTCTCTTGGTAATCTGTCTTTTGTTACAGAGACCCAGCTGAGAACCTAAGTTGAATAGACAAAAGATATTTTTCCTCCCCTACAATAGCAGTTACTTGCTATTTCAGTCTCTTCAGAGGTAGATCCAGGATCTGCTTGCCAGGACCAAGGAAACAAAGAATTGCAAATCATTCCTAGAAATGAATTACAAATGAATCTGAACAAAGTCATGAGCTGGGATATTAATAGTAACACTTTTTATTCATTCATTCATTGAAAAATGTTCATTGAGCACCTGTATGTGCCAACCTTCAGCCAGCTGCTGTTATGTGATGTGGAGGAGGAAGAAATTTTCCTCCACCCTTCTAGGTTCTTCTGGCTCATCTAAGAATTAAATAATATGAGAAAATCAAACAAATTTAATAATGTGTATACATGGGAGAAACCCAGGAAAACTGAGTGACTTGCCAAAATGGCTGAAGCCACCACCTTAAATACCATCTTCAGCTAAAGACAAAAGAGGATGTTGGGGGTAGTGGTTTGGGACTTCACGGGCAGAAGGCAATTCACATGGAGATGGAAATGCAAATGTTTGGTAGACAAATGTTTGCTGGACCATCTATAGACAATGGGATCCAAGAGAAAACTTTGATCAGATAGGCCTTACTAGGTTCCTCCCTATCTACCACGCCTAGTTCATATTATACTTGTTATTTACGGTGATATCATGGAACAGGCCTTCCATCTTAAATTCTTTTAGGCAATTAGGGGGAAGGTCAAAGTTTCTTCCTGATTCTTTTGTTCTTAAAAATAATCAAGCGAAAGAGACACATTTTGGGGTAGCAAATTCTGCTCTCCTAGAGTGAGCAAAACAGACACATGCTTTTCCCCTTGGCTCTTGGCGTGAATGGGGGAGATAGCCAATCAGAAATGCCTATAAATGCATACATAATATCCAAGTGAATTAACAGCTCTACAGTTGGGCTGTCCAATACAGGAGCCACTAGCCACATGTGGCTACTGAGAAGTTGAAATGTGGCTAGTCCTAATTGAAATGTGCTCTAAGTATAAAATACATTGCAGATTTCAAAGATTTGTTACCAAAAAAAGTAAAATATCTCATTAATAATTTTTTATTGATTACAACTAGAATTGATAATATTTTAGATATACTGAGTTAAATAAAATGCTTTATTAAAATTAATTTCACCACCTCATACCCATTAGGATGGCTACTTTGTGTGTGTGTGTGTGTGTGTGTGTGTTTGTGTGAGGAAGACTGGCCCTGAGCTAACATCTGTTGCCAATCCTCCTCTTTTTGCTGAGGAAGACTGGCCCTGAGCTAACATCTGTGCCCATTTTCCTCCATTTTTGTAAGTGGGAAGCTGCCACAGCATGGCTTGATGAGCGGTGCGTTGGTCCATGCCTGGGATTCAAACTTGCAAACCCTGGGCCACGGAAGCACAGTGAGCAAACTTTACCACTACACCACCAGACCAGCCCCAGGATGGCTACTATTAAAAAGAAAAATAATAATAATAATAATAATGTGTTGGCAAGGATGAGGAGAAATTGGAACCCTTGTGCACTGTTGATGGGAACGTAAAATGGTGCAGTCACTATGGAAAACAGCACAGCAGTTTCTGAAAAAATTAAAAATAGAATTATCATATGATTGAGCAATTCCATTTCTGGGTATAAATCCCAAAAGAATTGAAAGCAGGTCTTGAAGAAATATTTGCACACCCGTGTTCATAGCAGCACTATTCACAATAGCCAAAAGGTAGAAGCAATGGAAGTGTCCGTGAATGGCTAAACAAACCACACAATGGAATATTATTTAGCCTTACAAAGAAATGAAATTCTGACACATGCTACAACATGGATGAACCTTGAGGACATTGTTAAGTGAAATAAGTCAGTATAAAAAACAAATACTGTATGATTCTGCTTAAGTGACGTACTTAGAATAGTCAAGCTCATAGAGACAGAAAGTAAAATGGTGGTTGCCGAGGGCTGGCAGAAGAGAGGAATGGGGTGTTGTTTAATGGGTAGAGAGTTTCAGTTTTGCACAAGGACAAAGTTCTAGAGATTGGTTGCACAACAGTGTGAATGTACTTACTACTGAGCTGCACACTTAAAAATGGTTGGGATGGTAAATTTTATGTCATGCATATTTTACCACAATTAAAAAACGAAAAAAATTAATTTCATGTTTTCTTTTTACTTTTTAAAATGTGCCAATAGGAAAATTGAATATTACACATGTGGTTCACGTTATATTTCTATTAGTGCTGTTCTAAAGGAAAAGAATTTTGGTCTCTGAGGAATTTTTTGTTTTTTTAGCAAAAAAGAAGAACCATTTTTTAAAGTAGATACAGAACACTTGTTTGCTCAAAATTTAATACTGCTTTACCTGTTGTGTTTGTGAAACCACTCCTATTATAATATGTTTATAACCAAAAACTCAACTGATTACAGACTTATTTAATATTCACTTGTCAAACACACAGTTGATACTCTTGAAGGGAAAATACATCAAAGCCATATTACAGAAGTTCTTATTAAACATGTAATATGGAAGATATATTTATTTGTTACTTTTTACATATTCTAGAAGACATTCGAAGGAAGATCAGTAGCTTCAAACTGGTTGATAAACTTCTGGTGGTTGAGGGATGTCCGAGGATTTTTAACAAAGGAACCTGATCTAGACTGAAGAAAAGGGAAGAGGTAACCAGCCCAGCTTGAGGTGTCTATACTGGGGCGGGGTTGAGGTCAAGAGGGGTGGAGAACTTCTGAGGCAGAGAAAACAAGTTTGGCAAGATCTCTGAGGCATGGAATGTTCTAGAAAGAGCAGTGAGGCTGGAGCGCACAGACAGAAGGCTAGAGGGCTCTGAGTGGAGGCCAAAGGGTCAGACAGGTGCTGGATCGGTTAAGGCCTGGAGGCCTTGCTAAGGACCTCCATCTTTGTCGTAAAAGCAATGGGAAGCAAGCACGAGTAAATGGGATTGCTCTTGCTGCGTCTGTATGTATGTGTCTGAGTCATTTTTGTTTTTTTAGTAAATGAGGCTTACTATGTAATTAAATGTAGTTTAATTTTTATCCTTTTTTCATGAGATTGACAATGATGTTGAACTTTATCCAGGTGCTGTGCTCCTGGAAAACAGCCACAGCACAGAGATCCCCCTAACCTTTGTTTTCCAAAGTCCCCCATCCTTCTGTGTGTCTGAAAATGACTTCGCTAAAAGAACCACTCTTCCCCATATAATTTAGATAAGACTCCCTGTCCACCTGACTACAAATTTGAAGATGACTCCTTTGTTTACCTGCGGCAAGACCAAACATAGACTACCCTCCAACTTCCCGTTCTTTGTCTCCTGAGTGATTAAGATTAGAATTGTTTGTCCCTCTGAAACTAGCCAGACACAAAGGTAAACACGTTCTGATCAGCTGGCTGAGACTTCCTCTGACTGCAAAACAATTCCAACTCTCCATCACCCCACCTGTAGCTTGTCTACTTCTCCCTTTAAAAGTCTAAGGCAAAGCCACCCACCCGAGACACTTTGATCTTCACATCGGATGGCTCGTCCTATTGCAATAGCCTGAATAAAATCATCTCCTTAATTCCCCCGAGCATTTTGTGTTTGACAAGATCTTTCAGATAAATTCAGAAACCAGAACTGCTTGGTTTGGAAACTATGATCTTGGCACTTATGTGCAACGCAGTAGAGGTGGATTCAATCCAGTTGAACACATCATTCGTTGAGCACCTTCTACGTGCAAAGCACTTTGTGAGGCACTTAGATTGTGGGATAATAAAGTTGCCAGGAGCAATGAACTATTACCTCTTAAATAGGTCATCATCTTCACAACTTTCACTGAGCGCTTACAGCAACCTTTTGAAAAAGATATCCTCAGATAGGTATTATTGTCTTTGTTATCTTAGCCTCAGTTTTCTCTTCTGTAAAATGAAAATGATAGTGCTTACCCTACAGGTACATTGGGAGGGGTCAATGAGATAATGCATGAAATGTTAGGCCTGTTATTATTACAGACGATGTTGGAAAAACAGTTTGGTCTTCTGGAAGGAGCTAGAGGCCATTGTCTACAAGAAAAATCTAGGTCGCACTCTGTCTGCCACTCTGTCAGCTCACTATGAGCCAAGTGGCCAGAGGCAGATTCTCACACATAGGTCGTTATGCTTTTGCTCATGTGACCCTGCAACCTTGGTGTAGCAGAGGCTCTCACTGCCCCACCCAATTCCCTGTGACCTTTTATGGGCTCCAGCCCATTTCCAGCTGCCACTATCTGCATCTCTCAGCCTTAAGGCTTCTTTTTTCCCCAGAATTGGGAACGTGGCTCTTCCCAGGTACAGAGCCGGCTGAAAGTGGCCTGGAATTAACATGCCCAGGGAGCAGCTCTCAACCAGTGACACTAGGGAGTGGGTGTGTGGAGGGAATGCCTCTATTCCCTCAACCTTTGGGTGGGATAATTCTGAGGCATATTCTGATAATTTTGTGCTGGGTTTTCCCCAGGGAATGAACCGCAGTCTCCCACTGTGGTTGCTGGTTTAATAAGGCACCGCCATTTCCTTGGGTCACTTCTGCACTTCCCTACCAGTCTGCCCTGTACTGTCCAAATAAAAAACTTGTGCTCAATTCCTGGCTTCAAAGTCTGCTTTCCAGAGAATCCAAACTAACCACCAGGCTCAACTGATTAGACAAGGATTGAGCCTTGATCCGAGACAGCCACCCATGGTTGGCCAGAACTCCACTCTGTACGTGATTACGGTTAAGCAAAGCAACCTCGTTCTTTTTCTCAGGGAGCACAGAAGGAAGAAACTAAAGGAGGAAAAAGAAAACAGCAACAGATGAGCTGGATCCTGTGAATGGCGGCCTGTGGCATCCTGAGGGAGACTGGTGGCGGCTCGGCCACCCTCACTGATGTGCTTTCCTGGGCATGCGTATGTCTCTGTGCAGTTTTATAACAAATTCCACCACCTGAGTCAACCTAATCATGGCAATCCTCACAATCTTAAGAAGTCCAGCTCACAGAGGCTTCAGGTTCAGACAGACTTGAGTTCAGATCAGTTCTATGTGGTCTTCAGCAAATGGCTTAGTGCCTCTGAGCCTCCGTGTTCTCAGTTCTAAATGGGATAATTCCAACCATCTCACAGAGATGTGTGAGGATTAAATAAAGTAATGTGTGCTAAGCAACCTGGTACACAGTTTGTCATCAATAATCGCAGCTCCATCCCTTACCTGAGATCTTCTATAGGTACTGCATCTACAAATAGTTCCTGTCTTTTGGTCGCCATGGCGACCCGAGGCAGGCTCATAAATTTCCTCTGATGAAGCTGAGATATTTTCATTTTTCCCTGCTGTGCTTGTCTGTGTCTTGGACAGATTGAGAACACCCAGAGGAGTCACATTTTAGAGTATGTAGTTTGACCATTTATAATCCACCTCATCTACTGTGATACGGGCAAAAACAGACAGAAAAAATAGAAAAGGTTCAATTCAGTCTTACCTGAGCCCAAAGGTGCCTCTATATTTTCGGTAGTTTAGGAAACATCTAGAGGGTGGGACTGAGAACAATTGTTGGTTGGCTTTGGAAGGAAGAGTAGCCTTTGGCCAGTTGGAGTAATTCAAGAGACCACCAAGCCAACCCCCCTGCCTTGCTGCCTTTCACCCCACCTTCCCTTTGGGGTTGGAATTCATTTCGATTCCTCCCGAGTACCTGATCATAGCAGGTCCTGAGCTAAGCACGAGGGTCTCAGATGTGAATCTGGCCCAGGACCTGCCCTGAGGAGCTTACCATCAGCAACATCATTTTCCTTCTTTGGAAGATAAAGGCATTGGACTAAGTGATTTTTAAATTCCTTCTTATCTTGAAATTCTATGATTTATATGAAAGTGAGGTCTATTCTAGAAAGAAGCCCTGTGAAGAAAGGCTTTACTTGAAGATAAAGATAAGGATGGGAGATGATAGAAATGTCGTGGATTTCTGCAAAGAATCCAAAGTATCACCAAAATACTAATCCAGCATCTCTCTTTCCATAAGTTTAAAAGAACTGTCACGTGACTGGGCCCCTGGCATGAGAATAAGCTGTGTCCGCTGCTAAGATTCAGAGAGTCTGGGCCAGACATCTACAGTCAGTCCTGCTTCAACGCTTGTTTTGAAAATGTGAATTTGCTCCAGTGCCATTGATATACTGGAGAACAATCTGAGCATAATGCAAATTTTTATTTCATCTGCAAGATACACTAGGTGAAAGCAGAAAACTCCACACACCTAAACTGACTGCATAGTGTCAAATAAAAAAACAAATCCGGACTGAGGCAAGGAGAGACTTTATTTGAAAGGTTTATTGGAAGGAGGGGAGGGGGGAAGGGACCATTGCAATAGGGACAACTTGCCACGATGAGATCTGCAGGCCTCTCAAGGGGGGAGGCAAAAAGGTTTTTCGTTTTTGGAGAGAAGTAATCAAGGCCAGAAGGAACCAGGTGTGGAAAGAAGGGTGAAAGGCTGGTATGATCAGACAGAGTAGCTCAGAGAATGTCACCTACTCTCAGGAGGAGCTTTAAGGAGGGGCTGTCTGCTGGCTCAGGTCGATGGTGGCCCAGAGCTCAGGGTCCTAGTGGAAGGAGAGAGCCTGAAACCAAAGTTCGGCTAACAAGCATTTTGTTCCGATTGATCAGTAGGACAAAACAATTCAGCAAACATTTATGAGGTGAAGAATGGGAATTTGGAGTCTGTGTCTGGCCTTATCATGGGTTAACAAGAGGGTCATCCATGAGTCTTAACTGAGTCACATGGGAAGTATGGTTCTTTGCGGTCAGCTGTTTCTGGAACACAAAAAGGTGAGGGGATTTCTCGAACCACTGCTGTTTCCCAGGATATAGGACCCCACTTAAATTCAACGTTGTCAGTAGGAATTCGTAAAACGCACACAGGCACACACTTCAAACATCTACCAGCTGCCTCAGTGTGTGCCGTGAGCCACATCCACCCCCATCTGGTGTCACAGCTGTCTCTCTGATTTCAGATAACCCTCCTCCCACCACTTCACCATAATTCACGAGCTATAACCCTTCCCTCCACTTCCACAAGCGAACTTCAAGTCTTTCTCATGGTAAGATGCCATATTTCTTGTGGTCTTTACATATTTCTTAACCATTTAATATGTGCAAGACTGTGACACCATTTTAATAGGTTCTTATCTTTTTTTTAATGTGTCACTGACAAAGTTTTTATTTTATTTTATTTTATTTTATCTTATTTTTTGGTGAGGAAGTTTGACCCTGAGCTAACATCTGTGCCAATCTTCCTCTATTTTGTATGTGGGATGCTACCACAGCATGGCTTGATGAGCAGTGTATAGGACCATGCCCGGGATCCGAACCAGTGAACCCTGGGCCGCCAAAGTGGAGGGCATGAATTTAACCACTACGCCACTGGGCCAGCCCCTGACAAAGTTACTGAGTGTTGTGCCCTAAGCCCACTTTTCCCATCAGCCCTGTGGTTTGTAATTGCATAATTTTACATAGCATGGTGATTTTTAGGAGCACATATGTCACGTTATAGCAGAACTGACTGAATTTGCAATGGGACCTGAGGAGTTTTTTAGGAAACAAAGCAACGATAGAGTCATTCTAGGAAATTATCAAACCAGAAGTGGGGGGCTTGTGGGAGCTGGCGCATTTGTAGCCAAGTCAGACAGAAGCGGGGGTAGCTTGAGGACATGGGGTTTGTGACTGGCATCTGAAGTGAGGGCAGTCTTGTGGGACTGAGCCCTGAAACCTGGGGAGTCTAGCTCTGGGCAGTTAGTGTCAGAATAAGATTGAAATGATGGACACTCAATTGGTGTCATAGAATCAGAGACACTCCTTTCAAGTTTTAATTATGGCCCCCTCTAGAAGACCTAAAGACCCAGACAAGTGGTTTGGGACAGATCTGAGTGGCAGATGCCAGGCTGAATATTGTCTTTCCCTCTTGACAATAGAAGTGGTAATCCTGGGCCCCGTGCCTCCTGCCCCCTCCCACCTGCGATGCATCAGGGCCGCCATGTTGCACACCTCCTTGGGCACCATTCCCAGTGTGTTTTATGTGGATGCGTGAAGTCTATCTTCTTTAACTCCAAGGAAGTAGGAACTCAAGTTCGCATTTCTGGCACTCTCTCTACCTGATCACCCCTCATTGTGCCATCTCTTAACGATTTTCTTTTTCCCTGCTCAGGTAGTAGATGAGATGTTTAGCAAACCAGCTGGCTAAACAGATATCCAACTGG